GAAATCTATCTTTCAAATTGTCTAAGTCTGATGTCAGGAACTTAGGAAACTCGGGTTATGTACCAGAAATGTATCTGTCAAAATGTCTAAGTCTGATGTCANGGAAATTCGGGCTACTGGTGATCTTACACTGTATAGTATGGCCATTTTCTGGTAATCTATAGAGAGAAATAATACTTTGTGACCTTGGCTTTCGTATGGAAATCAAGATCTGGTGAACTTAGGGTATATAAAAGTTATGCTGATCTTGAGGCCATGTTCAAAGTTGTTTTGTTTTGATGCGTATCAATTACAAAAAAATGAAATGATGCAATTACGCGAAATTGTCGGACTTAAAATTCAATAACGGAGATACAACTTTATAGTCCATCGTATTATAACCCTGTCTCGATTTGGAAGTTTAGCAACCTTATTTTGGCCAGGGTTTGGTGGTGAAGGAAAACCCGAATGCTCGCAGAAAAAACAGGACCTGCGGCCAGGACCTGGAGACTGCACAACGTAGGCCTCGAACCTGCAACTCAGTGATGCGTATTAGCAACGTCGAGCGTGGTCAGTAGTTGGATGGGTAACTGCCCGCACGTTACTCATATAACAAAAAAAACTTGACTAAACTATAAGCTATATAAAACATCCGTAAATATCATCCAACTGTGAGCATGTATACAGAAATATCGTTGTTAAGTTTGAACGGAAGTGATATATTAAAGGTACTTGACCACCACTCTGAAGCCTGTAAATAGATTATGTGCCCTTGTACATGCATGTATTTGGTGGCTGATGAACTATACCTCGAGTTAGTGTTGATTGTATACAGATGTAACAGGAATATCAAAGCACTTAACACATACGTATGAGTTTTCATAAAAATATTGATATCAAATCGTTATGGTATACTGTAACAATAGGATCACATACTATAGAACTAAACAAATGGAATGGGTTTAACTTGGTTGGAAGATTATGAAAAATATAGCCGAAAGAATCCACCATATAAAAACACAAAAAAAACAAACAAACAAATCAACCCAACCTTACCACCACCAAATAAAACAAAATAAAACAAAATGCCGAATGAAAAGAGACCAAAGTAAACCGAGGGGCTGATTTTGCAGCCTTGCGCCTCAAAAAAAAAGGAAATATTTCCGAAGACGATCACGATTGTATTCGTAATGAGATGAGGTGGGGATTTATCAGTACTGTAGGGTTTTATATTTGCAAGTGTTTAACGTCAAATATATATACATAAAACATATTTTTATCTCAAGGAAACACAAAGTCCGTTCAAAAGTACAGTGACAAGAAAGTAATGATTTAAATGAAACATTGAGCGATCCTTCTTGAGAAACAGGATGTTGATAATAACATTTAAGAGGCACTTGTGTACATGCTGTTTAGTGATATTTTTGTTATTGCTGAATGACCTATGATATATTTACTCGTTCTCAACTCCAGGTATCGCAGCATCGCGGATGTTAACTACATTTTCCAAACTTACTTACATATGGTCAGTTCAACAAAAGTAACAGACTGGAATTTGCATAAGCCTTGATTGTCTCCAACATCATCTAATGTTGGTGACGTCACACAGTTTCGGAAAATTAGCGCACCTCCGCTATATTGTAATGTTGTCAACGTCATAGAATGTTTTCATGTTCTGTAAGGTGATGAGGTGATAGGAACAAATATAACTGAGGTTGAAAATATTGTTTAGTGTTCATGCTTGGTCATGATTATCCATAGGATGGAGATGATTGTGTTTGTGGCCACGATTCTGCCTTGTCTGTGTATGGGTAAGCATGCTTTTTTTTTTTTTATCAAGGGTGATAAATTTAAATAAATAGAGCACGTATGTCTCCCTATGAATTTGTAGTTGCCATTGGGTGCTGCTACAACTGACAATATTCTAATGAATGTATCTACAATGTATTCCTATTGATATTAGTAATACTAACACTATCAGTTATAGTGTGATATGATAGATTTGGTTTTATCACATAATGTACTGTGTTTTTCAGTGAATATACTCATGTCTTATTTTTCCGTATTAACCCATGTAATATGACCTAGCAGCTCTGTGATTGGTTGTAAGTTTCAATTGTGATGTCACGCCTATGACAAGTATATGACGTCACATACTTACGCACTGGAATCAAAATGGCGGCTTTTTACATTTCAAGGTTGCGTGAAAATTGTCGTTTTAATGCCATAAATCTTGATAATGTGATAAAAAGGATCTTACAATCGTTTTAATTTCATATGAAATTTATGAAACTCACCACGAATTTTTCATTTTAGCTCGCCAGAGGCTCGCTAAATTGAAAAAATATTAGACTCGTTTTATAAATTTCATATGAAATGAAAACTCATGTAAGATCCTATATGAATGCCAAGATGCCTTCTGGGCAAATGCAAATTCCATCAATTGCGCGAGTGCTTCATGTTGGAAATGCTTTTGTCAAGTCGGCATTCATGGTGCCTTGGAATACCAAGTTAAAGCAGTTCAATACTTGTATTACAAATGTTCGAAGTCTGTTTATCTGATTGAACATTCAATCACATTTATTTCTTTTCAGCATTAAGTTCAAATAATGGATTTATAGTACATTGTATATGTGTGTTGAATAAACAGAACAGCCATCTGTCCAGGGAGGGTCGGTGTTATCTAACGTGATAATTATGATGTAACAATAATGATGGCGTCAACAATCGGCTTACTACATTTATAGCTTGTATAAATGCCACCTGAATGTGGAAGGGTTATATAGTGGCAATGTCATACGTTGGTAAATTTATAAAACTGTGGTATCTATAGCAACTCTTTATACAGGAGATATATATGGGAAATCAACTTTGAACACTTAAACGAAATATTGCATACACTTATGGCGATATGTCAAGAACTTTTTGAGATATCTGTGTTAATTTAGGTAATATTTTATAAACAATAAACGCATTATATAAATATAATTATTAGGAATCTCTTCATTACGTCATAGCGATCTCGAACTCCAAATGTAATGTTAATCGCCATTAATTCGACTAGCATTAAAACATACCAACTCCTAAATGTAAAAAAATACAAAATAGTCGATTTACATTTGCTATTCTAAACGAATCGATGTCAACAACAATTATCAAAAAATGGTAATAACGCACAATTTGGTTTGAAGAACATCATGTCGAAAATATATTACCTGTTAACAATGGAATGGTAATTAGGCATTGGTTACTGGAAAACATTCGCCCAGTAAAATATTCGCCCTTCCTCCATTCAGTCTATATTTACCCCGTGCTAATTTCGCCATTCACACGATATTACCATATATGTTATGCTGTTAACTTATATTCGCTGTCGTGGTTAATTCGCCCTCCTAGCAGAGGGTGAAAAGGGCAAAAACTTAACTACAGCGAAAACTTCCCGCTATGCAGTATCTCATTTTTGTTTGTTCCTTACTGGCCGACATGTTATATGTTATTTAAAAAATAATATATTTAATAATAAGAGGAAACGCTTTATTTAATAAGATTTACTTTAAGCATAGACTTATTTGACGTAAGACAGTCAATTTTCACACACCTCATATCACTTTTTATCTTTTATCAAATATCTGCCTCAGTTCTACAATGTAGCTGTTATAGTAAAACCTCGATATAATGCCCCTAGTTTAGTCCACCCCTTTACTATCGACATAATATCGATGCGAGGTTTTGCCAAACCGCTTTATAACGCCAACTGTATGATATCGCCAATTCTTGCAGCATAAGGACATTTGAGTTTAACAAATTCGTCAATTAACTATATGAACATGCGTATTGGGACTATTTCAAACTTGTGATAAACCATTTGAGACACTATTAATTAATCATCAACTTGTAGATTTGTAGCATGTATTTTCTGAAAGATAAATACAAAACTGGTTAGTAAGTAAGCTTGTTTTAATTTTATATGGTAGACAATTCCAAATCAGCATATCTACCCTTAGTCTTAGTATTGAAAAATCGTGACCGATTGTTGATTGAAGTTCATGTATATTGATGTATTGTACCACAAATGCCTTGTGTAAGCCTAAATACCGTTTAATAAGGTACAGGTGGGAACGGCGTCCGTCCCAGATCTTTATTATCTTTTGTAAACTAAATAAATGGGTCGTAACCCATGGAATATCGAGGATGACAATTGAAGGATCGTTACCAGTTGTTGATTGAAATCTATGCATGTCAATGTAATGTATCAATAATGCCTTCCGTAGGCCTACACACTGATTAACATGTGACGTATTATAAGTCCGCCCCTGATCTTTTTTATCTTTTATAAACTAAATAAATAGGGTAGCACATTTGTTATTATATTGTGTATTGTATTATAACAGGTCATTCAGACACAAGTGTGCGGTTGACGACGACACATCCTGTCGCAGAGGGAGGATCACTTATTTTGTCGTGTTCGTTGACCAATGACACCTCTACGCACGCCGTGTTTTATTTCAAGAATAGGACAGCCATCGGAACAGTACGGCGTGCGGGATACAGTTGTCAGAATGGTACTACAGGTCAGGCGTGTAACAGGCGGTGTAGCTGTACCCGAGACGGTTCATCCTTCTCCATGAATATATCTAATGTGAATAGATCTTGGAACAAGGCACGTGTCTACTGTCATACCGGCCACATAAGTGTTGCTAGTAACACTACAGAGATAACTGTAACATGTAAGCTTACTTGTCATTTATATTTAATATCTAATGGGGTTGTTTATATAAGACTAAGAGATACTAATTTGAGTTTAACAGGGGTGAATGGAATTACCAACCGGACGTTTCCTCAGAACAACCTGCCTGAGTAGTTGCATGCTAAGTGTTCCATTGTCTGGTCGGTTATCTGGCATGGACGATGTGGCCTCTGATTTAAAGTAAAACAACATTATTAAATAGCAATTATTAAATTAATTATTCCAACATATATCAATAACCTTTCTTGGCCTAGATATTAGCGCGCAGAGGGACTTAAGTGGGAGGAACACGTGTGTATAGACAAAGTGGTGCCAGCGGTGTTTACCTAGGTCTCTTGTTCCTCTTCTTCTTCTCCTTCTTCTTTTTGTTTCTAATCTCCTTATTATGTTTTTGAAAATGTGCAGAACGCATTTCCTCTTCGATTGATCACTACACATAGAAACTTCGGATTCCAGTAATACCGCGACACCTGCATATTTAAACTGGGTATACTTTAAAGTTACACCGTTGGATAACCTACTATTAATATCATTTATACTGTTTATGCATTTGTATTTATCTATAAATATATTTCGCTCTAAAACACAAGTTGACACTTGCGAATGAATGGAGTAATTTTGGGGGACGTTGCTGCGGTCCCCGTTACGTTTGTCCCTGTATGACTAAGACATTACGATTAGACTCCACTCTACCTCCACAAAGTGAACTTTATGTCAACGTCTCGTCTGTTCCGGTGACAATGTCATTCTACAACAAGAATGTTTCTGTTGATGGTTACATGGTAGAGTTACACTTCAGCAAGTTTGAGACAAAACACCAAGGCCGTTATATGCTGTATGTCTGGAATATGTATGATTACTATTACAACTTTGATATAGCTATATCCGGTGAGTACTTTATATTTGTGATATTACTGTAAAAGTGGATATGTTTGCTATTTTGACGTAAAAAAACCCAAAACACAGAAATATCCACACGTGAATATTACTTGATATTGATGACAAATAGAATATTTGGATTTCGGAACTAAGGTCAACACGAACATTTTCAAACCTCAGGCCGTTAAAATGGTCATAACGTGAACATTTTCACACCACAGTCCGTACAAGGTGTCATTACGTGAATAGTTCCACACCACAGTCCGTACAAGGGGACATAACGTGAACATTTCCACACCACGTTCTGTTAAAAGGGTAATCACGAGAACATTTCTACACCACAGTCCGTTTAAAGGGTAATCACGTGAACATTTCCACACCACAGTCCGTTTAAAGGGTAATAACATGAACATTTCCACACCACAGTCCGTTTAAAGGGTAATAACGTGAACATTTCCACACCACAGTCCGTTTAAAGGGTAATAAAGTGAACAATTCCACACCACAGTCCGTTTAAAAGGTAATAACGTGAACATTTCCACACCACAGTCCTTTAAATGGGTCTAGACTGCTGGCTCTAAAAATGCTGAGACACTTTGGGATTTAAATTGGGTATACTTTAAACTTACGCCGTCAGACCCTTACTATTTATATTGTATATACACTTGTATATATCTATCTATAAAATACATTTAACACTCAAACTATGAACGAATGGAGTAATTTTGTAGGACTTTATAACGGTCCCCGTTACGTTTGCCCCGGTATGACTAAGACATTTCTGTTCAGATGGACCTGAAGTGGATCTTGTTTTCGCCAATACTACAGAAAATACAACAAACTTTCATCTGAAATGTACAGCTAGTGGTGAACCTGACCAGTACACATACAGGTGGAGACACACGTTCGGATCTACAGTGATTAGGGTGACGTTTGACAACGTGACGAGTTCAGGGTCTGTTAGTACACTGACCATTCCCAAAGTGACCTACCAGGACATGGGGACGTATAAATGCAAAGCGGACAACGGACACAGGGAAGGAGATGACCGGGGATTTCTGTCAGTGCAGGGTAATACTGCTATTTGTATTCTGAGGAGTTCCTTTTAACTCAAAGTGTTTCCCATTAACATCCAATATAATTACTTTGGTTTACCCTAAACAAATCTCAACTGTACTGCTAATATGTAAGCATACGTTGGAATTTTGAAACAAAAGCTTTTGTTTAATTTACAAAACATGATTTTCTCCAATTACTCGCTGACTTATTTGATTAAAATCTGTATTATTAATTAAGTTTATTAAAAATTGTACGTGTTTGTTTATAAAACGTAGGCAGACCACAAGTAATCGAAGCACAGCAGAGATATGTAACAGAGAAGGACATCTCCCGTGACATCAACATAACCTTTGTCAGCTTTCCTAAACCAGTCAACACGACCATCTTACGATTAGACTCCGCTCTACCTCCTCACAGTGAACTTTATGTCAGCGTCTCGTCTGTTCCTGTGACAATGTCATTCTACAACAAGAATGTTTCTGTTGATGGTTACATGGTAGAGTTACACTTCAGCAAGTTTGAAACGAAACACCAAGGCCGTTATCAGCTGTATGTCTGGAATATGTATGCTTACTATTACAACTTTGATATAGCTATATCCGGTGAGTACTGTAGTTTTGTGATATTACTGTAAAAGTGGAAATGTTGATGGTGTGGATATGTTTGCTACTTTGACGTAAAAAAAAACAAAAACAAAATATAGAAATATTCACACGTAAATATTACATCACATTGATGACAAATAAAATATTTTGGTTTTCAGAACTAAGGTCAACACGAACATTTTCACACAATAGTCCGTTAAAAGGGTTATAACGTGAACATTTTTACACCACTGTCCGTTAAAAAGGTCATTACGTGAATATTTCTAAATCACAGTCCGTTAAAAGGGTCATAACATGAACATTTCTACACCACTGTCCATTACAAGGGTTATACCGCGAACATTTGCACACCACGGTCCGTTAAAAGGGTCTTAACGTGAACATTTTCACACAATATTCCGTAAAAAGGGTCATAACTTGAATATTTCACCACTACAGTCCGTTAAAGGGTCATACCGTGAACATTTCTACAACACAGTCCGCACAAGGGGTCATAACGTGAACATTTCCACACCACAGTCCGTACAAGAGGTTAAACGTGAACATTTCCACACCACAGCCCGTACAAGGGGTTATAACGTGAACACTTTTACACCACAGTCCGTACAAGACATTATAACGTGAACTTTTCCACACAACAGTCCGTACAAGGGGTTATAACGTGAACATTTCCCCACCACGGTCCGCACAAAGGGTCATAACGTGAACATTTCCACACCACGGTCCGTTACAAAGGGTCATAACGTGAACATTTTCACATCACAGTCCGTACAAGGGGTTATAACGTGAACATTTCCACACCACAGCCCGTACAAGGGGTTATAAGGAGAACATTTCCACACCACAGTCCGTACAAGGGGTTATAACGTGAACATGTTTACACCACAGTCCGTACAAGGGGTCATAACGTGAACATTTCCGCACCACAGTCCGTACAAGGGGTCATAACGTGAACATTTCCACACCACAGTCCATACAAGGGGTTATAACGTGAACATTTCCACACCACGTTCCGTTAAAAAGGTCATAACGTGAACATGTTTACACCACAGGCCTTTCAAAAGGTTATAACGTGAACATGTCCACACCACAGTCCGTACAGGGGGTCATAACGTGAACATGTTTACACCAAAGTCCGTACAAGGGGTCATAACGTGAATATTTGCACACCACAGTCCGTCAAATTGGTCATAACGTGAACATTTCCACACCACGGTCCGTTAAAAGGATTATAATTTGAACATTTCCACTTACAAAATGCAGTGTATTTCATTTTTACAGCGAGGTTTTATCACAAATTTAAAACTGCAACAATATTTCATACACGTTTCAATGAAGCAAAATATTTAGCTGCAAATGATGTCATGGTAAAAGGAATGTGGCGCCATGTAATTGGTTTCTTTAATGTTTATTTGAAAACTGTATTCTGCACTAGATTGTTTTGTACTGCAGACAAGCCAGACTCCCCTGCATATCTAATGATAGCGCAAATCACGGACAGCAGCGCCATCATATCGTGGACTCCAATGGACGACAACGGGAATAGTCAAACGTTTACAGTAATTTGCCGAAACAGCAGTGGAATACAGACTAATGTCACCCTTAACCATAGCGTTTCTTCCTACACCGTTAGAAATCTTGACATCTCAACAAAATATCACGTTACCCTTTATGCAAGCAACGTCAAAGGAACCAGTGTTCACGTTACCAGCTCATTTAAGACGAAATCAGGTAAAAAGTTACACACATAATAATAACTCTTCTTTATTTGAAATTAATGTTACCGAATAATATATCACATAGGATGTTCCAGCTGGCTATAACGGATCAGCTTTTACATGCATGTACTTGGTGTCTGATAAACAGTACCTCGCGTTAGTGTTGAGTGTATACAGAGGTAACAGGAATATCAAAGCACTTAACACATACGTATGAGCTTTTAGAAAAAATCAATTGACATCGAATCCTTATGGTATACTGTAACAATAGGATCACATACTATAGAATTAAACAAATGAAATGGGTTTAACTTGATTGGAAGATTATAAAAAAAAATATAGCAAAAAAATCAACCATATAAAAACACAAACAATCAAACAAACAAACAAATCAACCCCACCTTACCCCTACCAAATAAAACAAAATAAAACAAAATGCCGAATAAAAAGAGACCAAAGTAAACCGAGGGGCCGATTTTGCAGCCTTGCGGCTCCATTAAAAAGGCAGGAAAATATGTCCGATGACGATCACGATTGTATTCGTAATTAGAAGAGGTTGGGATATATCAGTACTGTAGGGTTTTATATTTGCAAGTTTCAATGTCAAATATATCACATATTTTTATCTCCCGGACACACAAAGTCCGTTCAGAAGTACAGTGACAAGGAAGTAATGATTTAAAAGAAACATTGAGCGATCCTTCATGAGAAACAGGAGGTTGATAATAACATTTAAGAGCCATTTGTGTACATGCTGTATAGTGAAGTATTTTTTTTATTGCTGAATGACCTATGATAGATTTACTCGTTTTCAACTCGAGTTGTCGCCGCATCTCTTGGCCGACATTTAATCTTTCTTTATGTTTACTTCACTTCTTTTCTGTGAGTTGTTCATAACTATATTGAATGTAAGCGTTATAATTGGATGTAAACTTCATTTTCCAAACTTATTTACGTATGGTCAGTTCAACAAAAGTAACAGCCTGGAATTTGCTTGATTTACTCAACCATCTTCTTATGTTGGTGACGACACACAATTTCGGAAAATTAGCGCACCTCCGCCATATTGTATTGTTGTCAACGTCATAGAATATTTTCCTGGTCTGTAAGGCGATGAGGTGATCTTTTCATGCAGTATACAAAAAATGTATACTTTTTTAACAATGGCTTGAAAAACATGTTAAAGCTATTTCTGAAAAACAGAATTCGAATAAATGTAATTCTGACTGCTGTAACTACTCTATGATCTCTGAATAGTTTAGAAAATATTAATTGACGTAGCATATTTGAATAATTATGGTCTAAAATGTTTGGTTAATTCAATAACTCAATGATTTACCACATTGTTTTCAATGTATTCAGTTCCACAAGATGATGGGGATACTTTGAATTCAACAAGAATAGCCCTCATATGCGTGTCGTCCATTCTTGCTGTTGTGGTGGTTGCGGTGGCCGTTTCTGTTTCAATTTGTGAGTATAATATCAGATACATATACACAATCTAGTGCAGTTTCACGTATTCACAACAAGTAACTTAATGTGTAAACGTACGTCGTATGGGATAGATATAAGAAACAATACTGAAGACCTGTCGACAGGTTAGTCATTACATGTCTAGTGTGTTCAATAGCTTTTTGTCTATCGTTACAGGTATGCGGAAAACTCCTTGGTGGTAAGCACAAGCACTGGGATACGAGGATATTTAGCTACAGTCAGTATGTGGCAGTCATATCATTATAAATGTTCATTTATGAGCAAATAATTAATATTATATCGTATTAAAATGTTAACTCAACGGTGAACTAAGCCATCTATAAATGAAGAACTTGTCGTCGACATTCAGTGATATTACCACTATTGCACTGTTACATAAAGGTCCATATGTCACTAGTGAAGTGTCGGTGACTGGTAAGGTATGTACTCAGTCACCTTCATCGGACAAATGACCGATGAAGCGTATGCACAATACGGTATGATATATTTATGGGTTGGCAATTAAATCGCAATCTATTCGGTCACGCTTTAACCTTTTGTGCACTTTTGCATTTTTTTTCGAAATAACGATTCCATCGAAAAAAGATGGACACACCAAGTGAAACACACTGTAGCTGGTCATTGATATATGACATCATCTCAGCCTTCGTCTGGATTCAAAACTTTCTCTGTCTGAATGTCTTGCATACATATATTTTCCATTGTACAGCGTTAAGAAAGACGACACAAGGATACAACACGTGGCTGAAACAAGGCAGCATTCCGGACGAGACAATAGTTAGTAAACTCTAATATTTCCTATTGTTTCAAAAAACAAAACGTTGCTAATTAATTCCTAGTGTCAGATGTAAAATAAATAAAATAAAAAACGTTAATCGATAAAAGAGGGAAAATAACAAAGAATAAAAAGGTTCTAACATTATTCAAATATTTGTTATTCAAATGAACGTATGTATTATTTATTTAAAATAAAAGTTATTTTGTTGTTTTTATTCAAAGATAACTGTTTACTGACAGGTGCGGTCAACGAAAGCAATCAGTAAGTATTTGTTTGCTTTATATATATATTGTTTCATGTTGAAAAGTTAACTTTTAAAATGCCTTTTGTTAAGTTAAGATTGTATGGGAACATATATAGTTCTTACGAAATCAAATAATCCCGATAAAGTCAACTGTAGGAAGTTAAATGGTGATATTTACGATACAACAAAACACATCTGTTATGTACAAATGTTTATGTCCAGTACTTTCAGTATACACAGATGTCTTTCTACTATATCTTTATGTAATATCATTCTAATCTACAGAAGGCTGTCGATCTATGAAGCTCTGAATCTTGACAATAGGAGTTCACCTGCAATATATGAAGACACTCACGGGCAAGGTAGGTTATTTACTTACTCTGAATGCTTTTTGCTTTTGTGCATTCTTTTGTCCTTGTGCACGAACTGAATCTCGCAATTTTCAATGCTAGCAAGTACCTTTGGAAATCTTCACCGACTTTTTTACTATTGTATAAATCTTCACGTCCAAAACAATCAGACAAAAACCTTTTTTTCTTCGTTGTGGTTTTTGATAAATTATGAATAGACCGATGGAATTGTCCATAACTAAGTGGTGGGAGAGATTTCGGCTGGCCTTGTAGACACGTTAGTCTAGCGGTAGGACGCCGGGCTTGTGACCGGAGGGTTTCGGGTTCGAGTCACGTCTCGGCACTGTGTTATATCCTTGAACAAGATACTTTACTCCGCTTGTTTCAGTCTACTTAGCTGTAAATGAGTACGTGGTTGGGCAGTGCAAGAATTGTAGAATGCTAGCCGTGAGGGCCGAAATTGCCGCACTAGCTGTATGCTCCCCAGGGAGTTGAGACAGATATTGGCTGGTTGCAAAGACCCTATAAGCACGGATAATAATCTGTGAACCGCTTTGAGACGACCGTATGCGACGTCATTACATCAGCACAATTACATCCCTGTTTCGGAACCTCTACCAAACTGCATCAGTAAACTTCCAGCTATAGGTACGTTCTAAAACACGCCATCATGTTGCCGTCTTGCTTGGAGCAGGAGACATCTCTGATGTATAAGACGGGATTTAGCTTGTCTCAGACGAGTCTCAGTTCGATTAAGACATAAGTGACGGCATCTCCTTAGAGTACCGTCGCATTGCAAAGCGTTTCTATGACAATTATGTCGTAGAACGTCGCCTATCGTTGAATGTAATGTGATAGTCGGGTCATCTTTACGGGGATTACCAGAACGACTCTTGTAGTCCTTTTTAACAATTTAACCGGTGCTCGCCACCGCGATGAGGTCGTGCAAACCAACGTCATTCCGTTCGTGTAACAACATCACATAACGCTGCATTGTGACAACGCTAGAGCAACCGCGTTGTAACTGATGTTTTGACCCATGTTGCCCAGGCCTGTTGTATCACTGGACCTTTCGCAAATTAAGCACATAATGGACGAGCTGCAAAAAGTAGGCTACGTCATCTGCAAAATTAGCCAGTGATGTAAGCTGTATTGTCACTTAAGTCAGTTCGCATCTGCAACGGCTTTCTCGGGCATTTGTTTCAGTAATCTTGTTGGATTCATGTATCGTCGGTGCAATTCCTGTATTAATGCGCACGGTGGACATTCCCTGAATTGACGTTGTGAACTAGCTCATTATACACTTCGAGTTTGTTGTACCCTTGCGATAAAATGAGTGTTTTTTCCTAACAAATTGATTTTTGATGCTATATGTTTTTTATTACTTTGAAATAAATTGTCACTTTACGTGTTGCCGTTATAGTTATATTCGGTCACGAATCCATACTTAATCCGTTTTAAACGAACTGAGGATGAATGATGTCCACACGGTGACCGCACGATGATCGCTCGCTAGTCTGACGCTGAATGAACACATGACGACCGATAAGGCTTGTTTTACTGTTCGGCGCAAACGCAGCTAGAACGTCCGCTAACGGCCGATCACATATGCCTTGCCGATCGAACGGACGGTCGATGAGGCCGCTTAACCTTTACCATTTGGTCATATAACACTTATAGCTAACTTATTCAATCTGCTAAACCGCGGTATAATCTTATTCCTCGTATAAACCAGATAATAAGATTTAAATCCTTATTTATTTGATTACTACCGGCAGAATCTAAGAATTAACGCATTTCAAGCATAAGTGCCATCACAATGTATGTTTATGAATAACTGTTTTAGAATTTTACAATATAATCACCAACAGTTATCTATAGATACGTAAATATATATAAAAATTTTTTTAGTATGAAACATCAATTGACAAATGAAGACATCAGTGTTTTACTTTTTTCCGAGAAGGAAACCAACTGTTAATGTCTGTATTAGGTATATTCAACGTAACTTAATTAACAGACAGTAACAGACAGTTTAACACAGGTAACACACCTATTTATCTTACCTGTGAATAAGCACGTACATGTTAGCTTATTAACTATTACTCTTACCTGTGAATAAGTAGGTACATGTAAGCTTATTACCAATTACTCTTACATGTGAATGCCGTCGCCAAAGAACATTTATGATCATACCTCCTACAAACACGGGTATGTTTGCCCATTTAATGGTAGAAAGACAGTTTAATCAGAATAACTGTGTTTCACCTATGTTTACCTATTGTTGGTAACGCGTCTGTGTATGGTAATATTTGTGCTGATATGACATGGAAAAAATGCGTTTTAATATAGATCCAAGATTTTGTGATGATGAGTAGCGCACCATTTTTCTTCTAGTTTTAAAGTTGTTATTTCATGCAAACTAAAAACCCTTGAACATGAACACAGAATGAATGAAAGGTCAAAAAGAGCGATTAATGAAAATTGAAATAACGTGTTTCATAATTGTTGTGAAATGAATAAAAGAGGTATGATGTGTAATGTACTTACACTTCTTTCAGTTCCAGCATTGCCACGGTGTGAAAATAAAGATTACTGACTACTTACATTTGGTAGCTCTGTTTCTAAAAATAGTAATATAAAGGTTAGATGAACAGGATCAATTTGTTTAAGATATTAAATCTTGAAACCCGATAAACAAGACTAATAATATTAATTATATCGTAAGAAACAAGTTCCGCAGCTTACGCACACGTAGTTGGTTTACCTTTGTATATTATACAGCAGAAGGGTTATTTTCTGAAATATTACATTCGTTCCACTAATCTCAAACACATGCAATCTAAAATTATAAAAAATAAAAAATAAAATAACAGATTATTAGCAGTTCATGTTTTTGTGCAAGATGAAGATTAAGATCAACATCCCCTAAACGTGCTGTTTGTCAAAAAACGCATTTTTTTCTGATTACGTTTCTGAAGATATATGCTAGATCCATTAGATGCTGTCATTTGCCACACAGAAACTACTGTTTTAATTTTATTATTCGTTACGGTTAGATCGAAACAGGAACAAGAACGCCATACTTCTTTATATTTATGAAAATGAACATGACGTCAGAAACCGTTTAGACGTCAGTTAGAAGCAGTTTACTTCAACTCAATGTTTTTTTAATCTGCAACACTGTTCATTTCCCATCGTGTTTTATGGTTTTATGACACAATATGAAATTGTTTGCTCATTATAATTATTAGCGTATCAGTACGTGCTGTGTTAAACTGTCTCTTATTTTATTAATCTACTTTTTTAATCTCATCTTATTTCATCAACATTTTCTGTAAAAATATACATATTCGGATACACCTTAATTATTTACACACAAACAACTTAATTATTTACTTTACAATACAAAAATGATGTGTTTCGTTTAGATAAAATCTCGATTATCTTAATCGAAATTATTTTCAATGGTGTGGATCAATAATTGTATGTTTGGTTGATGGGGGTCTAGTCCCACCTGGGAGTAAGAGGGTCTGATACTTCCAGTGCTTTACAAATCACATGAATCACATCACATGAGCCGAATTTTCATCATATTAAAATGTACTTTTCTATATTAAATCATACTGATTGTTGACGGGATATTCACTTGATACAGTTCAGGATAAATATGTATGAGGAAATTAAATCTGGAAATCGATAGTACTTTACGGACATGGTACGATCTTTACAATTAAATAGTACGAACATCCTGATACTTATTGATACATGTATGTACGGCATTGACATTTTTCGCTCAGAGTTAAATGCAGTGTAAAACTGTGTTTTAATGTTCGTAACAAATTTTATAGATGTTTTATAGATGTTTGGTGAACTTAAATTCATATTTTACATATTGTATTTAATACCAAATTTATTGACTCGATCTCATGTATGTCTTACATCTTACTACAGAGTACATTGACTCTGTGACTATATTACTTAAATTCGTAGTTTGTATAATAAAGTTATCAAGATATGGTTCAATAAACATTACTTTGGTTTTATTTCTAAATCGTTAACTATTTTAAGCACGTTATTAATTGATAGGATGGCCTAACATAAGCGTACATGTAAATTGGCTGAAAACTTTGGGTAATTTTGGATAGTGGTTAAAATTTTTCTAATGTTGATCTTTAGTCTCCAAAAGATTAATCTCTGCACATCAGGATTGGCCCAAACATAGGGACATGGTCGGCAGGAACACACTCACCACGGGTCGGAAACTAAACAAGCCACGCCACTTTTTCTTTTCTAACTTTACAGTAACTAATTATCATGTGGTACACAGGTCGTAAAAATGACAACAGATATATAAAATGAAGGAACTTATTGGGTTTCCTTGTAACGAATGGTAATATAAATGGGCGATTTTCTCTCATATGTTACAAGCCAGGATAATGTCGGTGAGTTTCACACACATTACAACCAAATTACCACCACTCAAAATATTAGTCAGAGCAAATTATCAGTATCACCTTAATGGAAGCCTTGATAGCTTAACGTATATATATTTAGAGAGAGAGAGAGTTTATGTATGGGTATTAATCAATTATTTATAAAACATGCAGTTAAAAGGTTTAATGATCCAGTTACCTGTAATATTGAAGTGTTCACTTATATATTATGCAATTACTTTCCTTATGTTATTTGATATTATGTAACACATTTTGATATATCAGAGTGCATATACACGTAACTTGAAAATAATCAAATGTTGCTGTATCCTTAACTACAGATAATTGTACTTGTACATAAGCTTTATTAAAAGGTTATGGCTTCACCTATAATTCAACCTTAACTTTAGGCTACACTGCCCCACAAAATTACAACAAACAAATGCTGGCCAAACATGTTGATATATCACAGTGTTACAAGTACCAGCAGGAAAAACATATTAATCTAATATTGTTCATTTTTGAAAGAAAAATATTTTACCTGTATACGGAAACTATTAATGCTTTGCTGTAATTAAGGCCTAACCTGGTCTCCTCTGGTAAAATAAATATCATCTGAAAGCCCTGTGAGCAAAAAGACAATCGGGGGAAACACCGCTCGATACGGTTAGACCGCTAAAGCCGATCCAGCCGAAAGAGACGAACGCAATACGAACGACACGCGCTGGTCAAACAGAGCCCGAATATTACCAGGTGGATGCTTGCCCGTAATTATAACTGTATAGTTTAATAAGGTTTTACCTTAGCACAGTTTTTAGTTACGATGGAATACCAATACGTGTATATAAAAAGGTTAAAAAGTACAATTATGTCGTCCATAGTTTTAAAATCGATCATATCATATACAGACAGTGAACACGTCGTCGTTGTTTTCTTTCCACAGGTCAGCAACCATCTGGCGATGCCAGGTAAATATAAACACCATTTTTTTTTTTTTTTTTTTTTTTTTTTTTAATACAGTTTCGTTTTTGTTGTAAGCTAACTATATATCAGAGTGGATGCCGTGATTACAAATGTGTACATAACTGGGTCTGATGTTTTCGTAATGTTTAAATCAAGGAGGAATCAATACATGTGAACGTAACGAGTTACTCAGATATAAAAGTTGTATACTTCTAGGTAGTTCTGGTTCTGGATCCATGGATCCAACCCCGGAGACTTAGTCACTTGGAAATTACTTTAAAACAATTCAAACTCCATCCAATAACCATATAGCAATCGCCATGGATAATCTCATAAATAAGGTACCAGGATCGGTGTTGGGGTATCCCCCACCCCTCACACTTAACTAACTATATAATTTCACCATCATTCTACTGACAGTAAAATTATCGACGTTAACAACAGATAGGAACCATGCCCTCACTATTTATTATTAAATGAAATTACGGGAAACAGATATTTACCAGGAACCAAAACCATAATAAGATGACATATTATAAGAAGAATTCACATAAAGATATAATGCGGACTATATACAGGATGAATAGTTGACATATAATGTTCTATATTATAACACAATATGTATTACTTAAAACAAGATTGATCGGCGGCAACAATTCCGGATCAATCGCGTAAGCTCTTTTATTTTCATTTAAAAAGTTTCATTTATTTTCGATCTTGATATGATCTTTGTTTTACCACTACAGCTTTTGCTAAAAAAATGTCAGTGATATAATTGGAATAGGCATACTGCATAATTAACTGAACAAAATATATATAGTGATTTATATCTAAATATTGCGGTAATTGTCGTCTGCACATTGAGATCAGATGAGTTTTAGATACAATGTACACTGCCCTTGGCAAATGACGATAATTTACCTACTGGTATGGAAGGATTGTATCAGTTGGATTTTAATGATCAACCAATCATTGTTTGTTTGATTCAGGACTCAAAAAAATATCTTAAAAATGTGTGAATTCCTTTCTTATTGATCTTCAAACTCAATTATTTGCGCAGAAATCCCGGTGATCTGTTTTCTGTCTTTTGTACTATTTAGTATATAATTATGAAAACAAAATATAACGTAAAAAGATTGATTTTATAAATCGAAAAAAACCCCAATAGTTTTACATGAAACAAGATAATGATGAATTTAAATGCAAAAATGGGTCATTTTCACGATGAGCGTTAGACATACAGATGTAACAGCAAATATAAAACTTGATAATTGATACAGTACTCAAAAATTGAGAATTACACTGCACCGCGTAGATGTTTCGTCTCTCCGGGACTCATCGGTGATGTTAAGGGCCAGAAAGGAAGAAATTCAAATCGGTCTGTTTTAACAGAAGGAGAGTTGTATAAAACCCACTAATTATATGAAGTTTAGAATTAAGAGCGCTTCTGGTTAATAACAAGTTCCTTATTTGTATAGTGTTTATATTGTGAACGATTCCACTACTCAAAAGATGGAACTGTGTCATCAATCTAACGACAAACCTCTGCCAATTCGCCAAAAGAGTCAAGATTGCATGCGAAATTTGTATTGTAAACAGTTTGAATAAAGATGTCCTGCTTTTTTGCATGTACGATTAATCTGATAACGGTCCGATTAAAGACAAAAAATGTTCATTTGTAGCTCTTATTGGATTCCAAATACCAAAAACAGCTAGGATTTATATCATTCTAATTTTACGTTGTGGAATTTCACTGAATTACTTTAAAGTACATATATACACAAAACATTCAAATATCATGACTTAGCAATCGTTTGTTTCGTAGCAACATATTAGATCGCTCTGCTATTGAAACATTGTAAACTACTTGAATTCATTTATGTTTGTTTCGCTTAATTCAACACTGACCTTGAGGTTGTAACGGTAAATGCTATTGTTTATATCAATAATGCATATGAACTCTTGATGAAATCATAAGTAAGAAGAAGAAAAAAGAAACTACTTCTTTAATTCATTTCATCATATGTATGCCTGATTATATTACGTGCCAAAAAGTGTTCATACAATATACAATCTGACCTACAAACCTGATTTTGGTTCATTGACCAGCATGTCACTATTACAGGAAAAGACGTTTTAACTATTGATAATTAATTGCATTGTTTTTAACCTATTTTCAGTGATGGACATCCCTTTGGGGTTCATGGAAATGACACAGAATCACATGTGTATGAAAACTAGTGAAGATACAGTAATGATGGTTCAGAGTTTCTGATATGGTATGTATTCAATATAATAGATCCAATTATCAATTATGAAAAATGGTTTTTGAAACAAACATTCCTTTGTCAATCAATATATTTAGATATGAGTGTTCTAAATAGGACGGATAAGCACTTAACAGTTATACTAGTGTCTTCAGCGCTTTGAGTTAGCTAAGAGTTGATTATTAATTTCCATGGGATATTATGTGTGACAGGAAGTGTCATACATGTAATTATTAAATATCCATGTCTCAAAAGAATCCTTTGTACCTAGACACTTTGATTCGTTAACTATCTTAGTACGTGGTCAAGGTCATGGCTGTAGGTAGCAGTTGAATGTCAGGTGTGCTCCAGATTAATTATACCCCGCGTCAACGAAGTCGGAGGTATATAGTGCTGCTTCGTCCGTCTGTGCGTCCTTCCGTCCGAAAGGTTTCCGGAGTATATATCCCGTACTATTTCACCTACGGTTATGAATCTTGGTGTGTGGGTACATGCATGGAAGGCGGTGTTGTCGCGTGCCATATGTAAGTAACTGTGACTTCTATCGTGACCTCTGACCTACATAATGTCGTCAGAAAGGTTTCCGGAGCATATCTCCCGTACTATTTCACCTACGGTTATGAATATTGGTTTGTGGGTACATGCATGGAAGGCGGTGTTGTCGCGTACCATATGTAGGTCACCGTAACTTTTACCGTGACCTCTGACCTACGTAACGTGAAACGTGCAGCATATATACTCTTCACTTGATTCTTCCAATCCACATGCTCATCACTCACACCAATTCATGATCATTCAAAGCGGGGGTATTCGAGTTACATCTAGTCTATTTTTACCTCGGTTAGACAACTTTGTGATGCATCCAGGAAACAACTTTTCAATTTTGGAGAAGGTTGTGAAATGTTTTGGTGCTGAAACTGTGCAGAAATTTTACTAATTTAATGAAGACAGAGAGTATTAATCACCTACTATTTCTATTATGATGTGAGTATTAATCCTGGCCCGGCCGTTACATGTAACACCTGTTTCTTACCTGTGAGACAAACTGATCCCTATATTACTTGTATAGCATGTCCACAAGTATATCATACTGCTTGTCTGGACACTGCTATGGACTCTGATTTACATTGTCGTATAGAATTGATCTGTGATCAGTGTGTTTGTATATCATGTCCACAAGTATATCATACTGCTTGTCTGGACACTGCTTTGGACTCTGATTTACATTGTCGTATATAATTGATCTGTGATCAGTGTGTTAATGTTCTCTCAGCACTTTTTTTTACCAATCACTCAATGACTTATTGAAAACAATTCCAAATGGGCTAAAATGTGCCCATATCAACATTCAAAGCGAATGAATAAAATAGAGTATCTAAAGATATTACTCTTATTCTTGCCATATCAGATAGTAAACTCAATGCAGTCATCGATGATTCAGAGATTGCAATCCGAGGTTACAACGTTTCCAGAAAAGATCGTACCCGACACGGGGGCGGCGTCCTCGTCTACGTGGGAGGCACAGTGTTAGTCCGTAAGGACGTCACGTGTGTTTCGTAAGACCTTGGAATGGTTGTCCTTAAACTTTAGATGGAAAACAGCTCCCCTATAACTTGTGTTTCTGTCTATAGACCCCCCCCCCCTAGTCAGACTGTTCAGTGGTTTGAGTTAGTCGATCAATTTGTGGATAAACTCTTGAGGTGGTCCAGTCATTCTAATGTAGATCAGCAAGTCACCTACCCGACACGAAAAACAATAGATACATGTACTGTAATAGTTCACGTGCACAGCACACTAACTTTCCATGTAAAAGTGCGGGAGTGTTACCACAAGGTATTAGTGATCGTCACCTTATCTTTGCCATTCATAAGCTGAGACAAAACAAAATATCAAACGGACATGCTTCAATTAAATTTAGGAATTTCAAAAAACTAGACTCCGATTTGTTTGCGAAAAACATGAACCAGGTTTTTGGGTCCATTTTAGAAATTTTCGACGAAGCCTTGCACACATTTAATGAACTTTTCTTTTAATTTGTAGGCAAACATCTACCTTTTCAAGGAAAAACGTGTTAGTCCAAAGACAAGACCATGAATCAATGATGATCTTTTGAGTGAAATTTTGTACCGAGATTTTCCAGGGTATTTAAACCAGAAGCTGACTAGCAGTCGTTTCGCGCATCTCGTAATCGCGTCCTTACCAAGATTACACGTGCAAAGCGAGACTTCTTAGACGATGCTTTCCTGGAATGCCCGAAAAATTCAAAGGAAATGTGTAAGAGGATTAAAACATTTCTTCCCAATTCAAAATCATCTCTTCCTTCGAGAGTCAAAGTCAATGACAATGACGTTAAAAATGACTATGATATTTCAAATTGTTTCGATACATGTCTTAGTACTATTGGCTGTAAAAATCTGCAACCAAGTTTGACGACAGCCTTACCCATGTTGATTTATTTGATACTTTTAACAAGTTTGTTTTCGCCCATGTAAACAATGAATTTGTATGTAAACAAATCAAACTCCTTTATGATAGCCAAGCTTCTGGCCTAGATGGTATTTCTGTTAAGTTACTGAAATCGGCTTGCGAGGCTGTAATTAATCCACTTGTTTGTATTTTTAATGTATCTATCAATTCATGTTCATTTCCAAAAGAATTGAAACTGCAAAAGTTTCTCTACTGTGTAAGTCTGGTCATAGGACTGATGTCAACAATTACATGCCTTTCTACTTTCTGTTTTACCTATTGTAAGTACGTTACTTGAGTGACACGCGCATGATTATCTCTATACGTGTCTCTGTGATAACAGTCTGTTGAGTGACAGTCAGTTTGGGTTTCGTCCAGATCACTCTACTGAGTCGGCACTTATCAGCTTATTTGAAAAGTAGTTTAAGAATATAGACGAAGGTAAACTTACAGGTGTCATGTTCCTTGATCTAAGCAAGGCATTTGACACGGTGAGCCACCATGTGCTTCTTCACAAACTCAAATATTAAAGACTGTCAGATATGTGTCTTAGATTCTTTTCATCATACCTTAAGGATAGACACCCATGTGTAAATTGTAAAGGTAAATTGTCCAAGTTTGTACCTGTGACAATTGGTGTTCCTCAAGGATTCATCCTTGGACCCATGATTTTTTATACTTTATATGAGGACAACAGCAAACATATCCATCATTGTTTTGTCACCACGCTAATAATACCTCACAAGATGTAGTGGGACTAATGTAAACGATATTGAATTTAGTCTGTTAGAGGATCGTAAGCGTACAGTCAATTAAAGTCAAAACTAACTAAGTTTTAACCTGAATAAGACCCAATGTATTATGATTGACCCATCCCAAAAGCTACATGTATCAACGGCGAGAAAACTGAAACTCGAGATCAACGGTCATGTCATTGAAACTGTACATAGTGCCAAACTTCTTGGTGTTATTATTGATGAATGTTTGAGCTTGAAAAAACATATATAACATGTATGTCAGAAAATATCCAAGAAGGCTGGTGTTTTTAAACGTGTAAGACCATTTATGTCCATCTATCTGTATGACAAAAAAGTGTACCATAGCATTGTTTTACCGCACTTCCTATACTGTTCTGTGTCATGGTGTACTCCATTTAATATGGAATATTTAAACAAACTGTGTATGCTTCAAAAACGGGCAGCAAGAGTAGTTCTTTTACAACTGTTAAGGTGACTCCCATTGCTGAAATTTGATGATTTTAGGAATGCTGATTTTTGTAAAAGATTTGACATGGCCAAACTGTACCTGTTCTAAATGAAAATGTTAGCTATTTTCTACAGTTTTCACCAGAACTATGGCAAAAAACTTGATGCGAAAAAATGTAGAACAACTTAGTATAAAAGATGTTTGAGTTACTCTGTAAGTATTTTATGGATCAATTTCGAAAGCTCACTGATCTTTTTTTTTTTTATCTATTATAGTGTTTTTTTAAGCCAAAAGTTTTTATATATGTGAGCATTTTAAGGACAAATTTAAAAAGCTTACTCCACAATTTTACGTAGTTTGTGTCTTTAAAAAGGAATACCTGCAGATAATGTTTTAGATGAGACGAATAGTTTTATACTTTAGCTTGTCAGGATCTGCACATGAGATATTGCTATCATTTATGTATACTGTATATGTCATTGTATGTAGCATGCTCATCTCCATCGTAAATAGTGTACTTTAGGGCCATATTGTAAATGTAAATCTAAATATGTAACTATGTCTAAATAACATATTTCATTATTATTATTATTATCATGCCCTTTAAAGACCACAGAAGTTCGTAGGGCGTAAATCACAAACAAACCAAAGCAAACATTTCGTAAAAGATGAAAAGTGTTAAATCCAACTTAAGATTTTATTTTTTCAGCATTTTCTCTGTTAAATAAATTGTTTGTTAAAAGCGTGCTGTGTTCACACCAGTTTTAATAAGATAAAATTAGTAAACAACTTTCTTTTAATTATCATTTTTATTATTTTGTTGTTTGCTTTGTGGTTTTATTTTAGATAAAACAACGTAAACTATGTTTCAGTTCCGATTGTGTTCTTTATAGATCTTCAGAGGATCGTCTAGTGTTTTTTACAGAATTTACGAGAGAAAATAAATAATGGTGATTTCCGGTTCATCCACAGTAAACATAAAAGTGTTCAAAAAGTATAAGTATAGTTCAATCGGCAGGTAGAAATTCCATCTGTTGTGTTCAGAAATTACATTAATGCATGTTAAATTACATAAATAATGTTTTTGGTTAATTGAAGAAGTATTCCTCTCAAAACGAAGAGCGCTCTAAACAATTAAGTTCTCTTGAAGGCGACCGATAAATTGCAATTCTTTATCCTTGTAAAATATGTATTTGATGTTTGTCACATTTGCATATAATTTGATATTGTACATATTTTTTTCCAGAAGGCATATGCTTCATCCTTGACTAAATAAATGCTATATTTTGAAGTCATTTCTGAGAATTGTTGCTGTTCTCTTTGAGGAAAAATATATAGTTGACGTCACTTTACAAAAACAACCATAACTATAATATGGTTGTATTTCAATTCCGTCCCGAAATCTTTTTTGCATTTTTAAGGTAAGGCATTGCCATGAGTTAGTATGACTGTCTTCGTGTTATACTTATTGTTTACTTACAATATAATCAACAAGGGACGGTCTACTACTAAGCTGTATGATAAGCGGGGCAACAGGATCAACAATGGACGGTCTACTACAACAAGGGACGGTCTACTACTCAGCTGTATGATAAGCGGGGGAACATGATCAACAAGGGACGGTCTACTAATCAGCTGTGTGATAAGCGGGGCAACATGATCAACGAGGGACGGTCTACTACTCAGCTGTATGATAAGCGGGGAAACATGATCAACGAGGGACGGTCTACTACTCAGCTGTATGATAAGCGGGGCAACGTGATCAACAAGGGACGGTCTACTACTAAGCTATATGATAAGCTGGAAAACAGGATCAACAAGGGACGTCCTACTACTAAGCTGTATGATAAGCGGGAAAACAGGATCAACAAGGGACGGTCTACTACTCAGGTGTATGATAAGCGGGGCAACATGATCAACAAGGGAAGGTCTACTAATCAGCTGTATGATAAGCGGGGCAACATGATCAACGAGGGACGGTCTACTACTCAGCTGTATGATAAGCGGAGCAACATGATCAACAAGGGACGGTTTACTACTCAGCTGTATGATAAGCGGGGCAACATAATCAACAAGGGACGGTCTACTACTAAGCTGTATGATAAGCGGGAAAACATAATCAACAAGGGACGGTCTACTACTCAGCTGTATGATAAGCGGGGAAACATGATCAACGAGGGACGGTCTACTACTCAGCTGTATGATAAGCGGGGGAACATGATCAACAAGGGACGGTCTACTAATCAGCTGTATGATAAGCGGGGCAACATGATCAACGAGGGAAGGTCTACTACTCAGCTGTATGATAAGCGGGGCAACATAATCAACAAGGGACGGTCTACTACTAAGCTGTATGATAAGCTGGAAAACAGGATCAACGAGGGACGGTCTACTACTCAGCTGTATGATAAGCGGGGGAACATGATCAACAAGGGACGGTCTACTAATCAGCTGTATGATAAGCGGGGCAACATGATCAACGAGGGAAGGTCTACTACTCAGCTGTATGATAAGCGGGGCAACGTGATCAAGAAGGGACGGTCTACTACTAAGCTATATGATAAGCTGGAAAACAGGATCAACAAGGGACGGCCTACTACTAAGCGGTATGATAAGCGGGAAAACAGTATCAACAAGGGACGGTCTACTACTCAGCTGTATGATAAGCGGGGGAACATGATCAACAAGGGACGGTCTACTAATCAGCTGTATGATAAGCGGGGCAACATGATCAACGAGGGACGGTCTACTACTCAGCTGTATGATAAGCGGGGCAACGTGATCAAGAAGGGACGGTCTACTACTAAGCTATATGATAAGCTGGAAAACAGGATCAACGAGGGACGGTCTACTACTCAGCTGTATGATAAGCAGGGCAACATGATCAACGATGGGCGGTCTACTACTAAGATGTATGATAAGCGGGGCAACATGATCAACAAGGGACGGTCTACTACTCAGTTGTATGATAAGCGGGAAAGCAGGATCAACAAGGGACGGTCTACTACTAAGATGTATGATAAGCGGGAAAACAGGATCAACAAGGGACGGTCTACTACTCAGCTGTATGATAAGCGGAAAAGCAGGATCAACAAGGGACGGTCTACTACTAAGATGTATGATAAGCGGGGCAACATGATTAACGAGGGACGGTCTACTACTAAGCTGTTTGATAAGCGGGAAAACATGATCAACAAGAGACGGTCTACTACTAAGCTGTTTGATAAGCAGGGCAACATGATCAACGAGGGACGATCTATTACTAAGCTGTTTGATAAGCTGGAAAACAGGATCAACAAGGGACGGTCTACTACTAAGCTGTATGATAAGCGGGAAAACAGGATCAATAAGGGACGGTCTACTACTAAGCTGTATGATAAGCGGGGCAACAGGATCAACAATGGACGGTCTACTACTAAGCTGTATGATAAGCGGGGCAACAGGATCAACAATGGACGGTCTACTACTAAGCTGTATGATAAGCGGCAAAGCAGGTTCAACAAGGGACGGTCTACTACTCAGCTGTATGATAAGCTGGGCAACAGGATCAACAAGGGACGGTCTACTACTAAGCTGTATGATAAGCGGCAAAGCAGGATCAACAAGGGACGGTCTACTACTCAGCTGTATGATAAGCGGGGAAACAGGATCAACAAGGGACGGTCTACTACTAAGCTGCATGATAAGCAGGGCAACATGATCAACGAAGGATGTTATGTGTGACAGGAAGTCCCATTGTTCGTAATTGTTTCAATTACTTGCACCGTGGTATTCAGGGTCGGACTTTCATGCTAGGGACAGGCGGATATACTTTTATTATTTCGGTTTTGCCAGGAATACTACGATATACCTAACCAATGAATGACCTTCATTTGACAGTGTATACACTAGTGTGAACGCAGTTAAAGTATGGAGCAAACCTAACTTTGAAGCGTAGTGCACTTAAGTTATCAAGATACGTTATCCCCAGTGCACTAGTTTGTGCACTTAAGAAAAGCTTGTGCACTGGAGTTAACATTGTAAGGCACCAGAGTTAAATAAGGTTATACATGCTGTCATTTTCTCACCTCCCGTATCCCGTGATGTAAGAAGTATTCGTTTAAAAACAATAACTACAAAAAGCGTGATAACCTATTATTAGAACATGCACTGACATGGGTCCTTGGCACCAATAATACGTATTATGTACAGGGATATCAGCGGGATATCGGCTTTTTTTTATAAAACACTTTGTAAATCTTTTTATTTGTTTTTAATTTAAATTTTCTTCATTAAAGAAAAGTAAATAACAATGATTCTAATAGGTGCATATGTTTCTAGAACGCATTTAGTTGCTATCGAAGTCGGTGTTTGTAGTATGAAAATATAATAAACTACATGCAAGCCTATCATTAAAGAATAATTACAACACTGACCGGAACTACAATATCCAATGTAAATAAAAATGACGGCTGCTGAAATATCGCTGGGCATTGTGAGCTTTGATAATGTCATTGTAAATTTATGTGCAAAATAAAAAATAAAATAAAAAAACACTTTTATTACAACGAAAACAAGACCAAGGTCTGCAATATCGTACAAAATGCACATCGGTTGAAATCACCAATGCCGGCAATGGAAACAATTTTAACGCTCATGCAATTTATCAGAAATATCGTCTGTTACACTGCACTGATCAACAGGGGTTCGTTATAAATGTCTGAAATACACATATTCTATAGACCTACTGACACATATGTTACAGACCTACTGATATGAGTCACAGCACACATAAACATTCGTCATTTCAGACATTTGTAACGAACCTGTGCTCCGTCGCAAGATCACTCACTTCAAACGCTATCAGTTTCACGCGTCTCGGATCAACGGTTCCTCAGTTTCAGACGACATGTCAAATAACGATGCTGTTTTAGAAACTACCGACTGATGTCGGGTTCCCATACAATCAACAAATACATTCACGCCTGGATTCTTCACAAAATGAGCAAAGAGGAAAGTTCGAATTAACTTCCAAAAATAACTCCCTCGTGGAGGTCAAGGTTCCATTCACGGTGCTCACTGTATTTATCCATGCACGAAATTTGTTCCGGGGGAAAATCGAAACAATTTTAAATCTAACTTTCAGCTAAGATTTCTATTGAAAAACTGGAATCACCCTGTAGACATATCATACGCAATTGTATTGATATTAAATTGTGGAATAAATTTGAAATGTTTGTTAAAATGTCAAAGTACTACTTTGTTTGCCAATCAGCACGCGACAATACGCTGTTCAAACTATTGAACGACATTGTGTGGACTGTCGATAAGGCGGGAATTTTTAATTTTAATTATAAATCATAAGTTAAAAAAGAACATAAGAGGCAGAGAAAACGTAAATATAAGTATTGAACTGTTTTTGTATGATATTTATGATCTATTTGAATGACACAGCTTTGCAAGCAAAAAAATCATAATGCGTTAGAGCGCATTGTGTTGTTTGCTTGCAAAGCTGTGTCATTCAAGTAGATCATAAATACCATACAAAAACAGTTCAATGCTTAAATAAAGACTAAGGCAGTGATATATATGTGAAATTATCCCTTGTTGCAAACGACCTTCTAGTTCTTTCATTTTAAAACCTGTTTCTTGTGACTATCATGGACCATTGAACTTACATGTACAACATACTTTATCATGGTTGGTTCAGTGACCCATTCATTGATCCTTGGCAGTGTTATCAATTCGTATCGACTATTTGTGTAACGCCCATTTGTAAACCATTTTGGGGGATTGATGCACAACTGGAGTCATCAGTCAATAAAATACCGACACCGATTCAGGTTAAGTTTGTTACCACGGTGATAACATCGTATGTGATACTGTCCACTGTGTTACTGGCTATGTGATACTCATTTATCTTCTGATGCATACAAGCTAGTTCAGTGATGTCCTAGACCAGAAAAGCTTGACTGATTTTTCACATATTTAACATTACCATATGCAGAAAGGGCACTCCACAGACTATCTAAACAGAGTATACAGACTTATTTTTTTCCATTCAAATCAATGTATACCTTTCATAAATGCAAATTATCTTTTGGTTAGATTAGATCAGGTTTACAACTTGATGAAAGCGGTACCTTTGTTCGGCTAGAATACACAATGAAGAGCAGTCAATATGATTTGTTTTAATATTATTTACCTTGGTTTGTCTGAGTCACTGTTTTGAAATATAATTGTGCCTGGGGCTGCCATTTCCTGACAAAGGGATGTACTTTCTAAATCAACCATCACCATGTACATGTA